TACACACAGACATGCGGAGTATACATGGATGTGTCAGAAATAAAAGTAATCACCAAGATAACACCGTCACATCGACAATAAACGCACCTCACCTGGCTAGGGAGTGACAGAAGTCAGCCCAGTGGAGGCAAGGCACGGATTCCCTCCATCTTACATACCAGATCGAAAGCCGGCCGACCGGAGCTGCCATCCACCCATTGCCCATGCCCACTGCCCAGGATAGGATCCACCCATTCTTCGTATACGCTGATGAATGCCGCCCAGCAATGTACCTGAAACACGACAACGGGAGCACAAACAATGCATTGACAATGTGGTCGGTATGTGGGTTACTCGGGCAGATTTATCGTCGGCGTCCAACCCTTCCCGTTGTCCACCACACGACCATCTTTTCTGAGGGTCTCGGGTGTTCTATTCTTGTCGACGTGGGCTACCAACAAAGAAAGGAGTTCAAGCATGCATGCACATACATACGGGCCACCGGTCACAGACCTCACGCTAAGTCCTGTAACTGAGCACCCGGGCAGGATTTACTATTGATCCATCCCTGTTTCCAGCTGCAGCTTATCACCTGCACGGCGCTTACATACGAGGCACCCTGCCCGGGCCATCTGTACATCTGTACAGCCCGACAGGCAGACACCGATGTCCGCATGGGTAGGAACCCAGGCGGACGCAGAGATCCCTACATGGGAAATGGGCAGGAAATTAACTTTCAGATTCCACGCACACTTCGTACATATTTTGTCCCACCCATGCGACGCCTTTGACAGACCGATCTCGATGACTTGATGTATGTCTGCGCACCGAGCGCAACGCTAGAAAAACCGCCCCCGGTGATCCGTACAAATAGGAGCGAAAAGAAGAGTGAAGGAAAAAAAAAGATCTATATACTTGAGAAATCAAAATAGACCAAAAAGGAAATCTGTAGGTAGGCTGGCAGGCAGGTAGGCAAACCGTCAGACCCATTCAGTCATCTCTTTCATTCTTCTCTTTCCCCTCCCGCGGCCGGGGCCGGGGGGAGCCTTTTCCCCCTCACCGTTACACAACATCATGCGATCCACTCTTTAGTCGCTGGTGTTGCCGCTGCCGCTTTCACCATCTTTTTCTAGTGCTCCGTACGCCGTACCTACTGTATGTACTACCTACTTGAGGTAGGGGTGTACCTCGATTCCCTGTCAGTGTCTCACACTCTCACCAGTTGGACAGGTCGCACCCGTCATCCTCATGCTCACCCTCCCTCATCTGTCTATACTCAGGAGACAGCCACTCTTATTACATCCTACTCATACCTTTCACACTTTCAACAACAACAACTCACATACCCACATAACATAGTTAATACTCCAATAAATCAATAAGTAAGCAAGCAAAAAGAGATAGACACCTCAGGCACCTAACACACCTCAGGCACAGACCACCCGTTACCTAGTCCTGAAAATCAGTGCTATGTAGATAGTTAGCCGACGCGGTTCGACCCAACCGAAAATGTCACTCGGCATGGCCCGGCTTCCGGCTCCGGAGTAAGTACGGGGCGAGCTGGAGTGTTAGTGTGAGTGTGCCTGGGTGCCTTAGACCCCGTCTCTACTAACTACCCCATATGCGTATTGCTTACAAAGGAATGAGTAAGATGCCTCGATCCGAGCCGGTTTCGCTCCACTCACCCACTGTGGTTACTTTAAGCATGATAAATGATGTTGATGATGACTTCCTCAAAGCAAGATTCTGAAATTACGGGGTAGCGGGTTATCAGATACTGACACAATGATAACTGAGATGAAGATTTTCTTTCCCAGGGTAGGAAGAATCATGAAAGGGAAGAGTTGTTTTTTTTTTCTCATTAAGGTTTTCACCAGGGGAACCTAGACGGACCTGGACGGGTCTCGTATCATGTATGGTCGGTTGATAAACTGGTGGGATTTATGGAACGCTATCCCGGATGGAGATTGGTAAGAAGGGTATAGGGAGGGATATTAGTTGAGATTTTTTCGGGTTTAGGTTTGGGTTTCTTGGTTCGTGTGGGTTGGGATGGATGGAATTAGGTTATTAGGTTAGGATTTCGATGGGAATGGGGATAGGTGTGGGTGTGGAATTTGGGGGTAAATTTCCCGACAGGCTACTCCGTAACTACCGAACTACTACTGTTTATTTAGGTAGGTAGATAGATGATTCGGGTTGCGTGTGGAGCCGAGATAATCAAATAGTGATTAGTTTAGTACTATGTATATAGTAGTGGGATGATCTTTCCGTGACTATTATGTTTATTTGTTGCGGTATAGTCATGTTGACTAAGGTAGAATGGTGGGTGGGCGATCATCTAGGCCTAGATGCAGGAACCTTATTATGTGGATGTTGCTATTTCGGGTTGAGACTTTATCGTGGAATGAGCTTGGTTGGGAGCGGGTTCTGTAAGGGACGAGGAGTGAGGTCATGGAGTGTCGTTACAGCATGGTGTTGGAACGGATTCCGGAGGGAGAGGTGAAACTTGGGTCATGGGGATATGGTTCGACGTCATAGAGTGGGATTGCATGATCGGTCATTTGGAAACTGCTCGATCGTCGGGGGGGTTGTCATTATGGTTGTAATCGACTGAATCGTATCTGTATATGTTATCGAAGGATGGAATCTCCATGTCAAAGAGCCATATCTACTCGTGCTTCTCGAATCGGTAGCTGGACAAGTGCTCAAGGACCCATGTACTCACCGAGTGCAGAGCGAATGGACTGGTCGACCAAATCATCTTGACAGGCACATGTAAATGTGACATCCTTCTCTTCTAGAAGACCCAACCCCTGGCTTGGCGATGGCACAAGGTATACCCTGCTCATAGGGCGGCCATCCTTTCCGGCGAGGATCGGGGATTTCACCTGACCCCCGGTGAAACAATAGCACTGGGTGCGGACGATGACTTAATATGCAGACGAGAAAAAGCAAAGGACCACCGGAAAGGGCCAGCCACTTCATCATACGCCGCTGGAATTGGGCATCCGTTACTCGCCGATGGACTAGTGTCTGCTGTGACACCTTCTCGCGGGACGCAGGGGGTAGATAAAAACTTGATGTGTTATCTAGGTACCTCATCAACTCCTTGCAGGCGGGTCACTTGAATGTGTCGAGTCACGAGTACTCGCTGTCAGTGTCAGTATTTCGTGGTCAGGGCAATTTTGGTTGAAATTCCTCTTTCAATGCATCGGAATGCTCTCTTCGACAAGCGGAAATGAGGTGTATAGCGAGTCGTCCGCATTCCTTTGGAAACTTTTGCAAAGCCTTGGCAGTTGTCATGAATCGGCTATCGAGCAGGTGATCCCTCGACTCCCGATCTGGTTGCTTCGATTGTTGTTCCATGCTTATTGATCCAACTGAGCAAGGTAGAACGTGCTCTCCCTTTTCAAGATAATTCATACAGCAGGTGCCGGGTGCGTCTAGCTGTTCCAAGCAACAAGGCAAAAAGATCGATGCGAAAATGTATGTGATGAAGCTCGAACTTATATAACATGTTGCCTGTTCTGGTCGTCGGGTCCAGAACGTGGAGTCCCCTGTACCTTTGCTAGTGAGTCGGTGAGAACCACGAAAATTGCGACATTGGTCTTCTTTAGCTCGTTCGCCCAACCATCTCAGGGGCCGCCACCAGAACGCCAGTGGTGCACCAGACACCACTATAGATCCTGCTACCAACGTTAATAAGCCACAACGGCAAGGCGTTTAGTACCCAGAGCATGTCGTGTAGGACAAGCAGACAGTGACTGCACATTTGTGCACCCGAAAAAAAAAAAAAGTGATCAACAACGAGCGATTCACATGGTTTCAGCCGTCCGAATTGAGAGGCGTTCCCGAGACCTTGGGGATAGATAGATATATGCACAGTCCTACCCTGTACCTTGTAGCATCCCGAGGGCGTTGCACAGGAGACATCCAATGTCATCTTGTGGAACTTGCATGGAAGCCATGTCTACGCCGAGGGACCAGCCTTTGTCCCCTGGCCAAGAGTTACAGGCGCAGGAGAGTTTCCACACCCAAAGTCTGGGCGGACAGCCAAGAATTGTCTGGATCTCGCGGGACGATGGGCCACCGACCAACAGGAGCAACGGTCCTGACGAGAATGAAATGATGGGCAAGCCATCACGAGCACACGCCTCCCCATCTGCCACGCCGCGCACAGGTCCCATCCATGCGGTGGGATCCGAATAGCCAGGTCGGTTGAGTCTCAAGGTTCAGGAGCCGTCGTAATCACCCGGGAGCGGTGCAGAAAAGGAGGGCCGGTTGGGCAGAGTCGATTCGAAACCAACGGTTTAAGGGTGAGACTGACCGAGTCGGCAGGTTTAGGATCAACGATGGGTTACCCATTTGTTGATAAAGTAGCACGGCATGATGAAGAAACAAGACGTGGGGTCCGCCACCGCGCATCGGGTTACCTAATGTATTGCTGGATCGACCAGCTGGACACGAAGCCAAACCTCCAAGCCGGCTATACGGCTCCATCGCCTCCATGAGATGATGCCAGATTCCCGGCGGGGCTGGCCTGGGCGCCACGCTTTTGACTCAGCACAGCCTTTCCGAAGTTCGGTTGGCCCGTTCGTGGCTATCAATGACGCTGCCGTGAGAGCTTCCCCGCGAAGTGGCCTTGTTCGTGTTTCTCCTCCCCTCCTGGTTACTTCACCTGGCGCCGAGGCGTCGTGTTGAGAATCCTCACGATGTAGTGCGACAGGAACCCGCTGCGTATCAGGCTGGTATGGCTGGGGATGAGCGCTATGCTGGATGTGATCTGGCCGTAATACCGCCAAGCCGACCAGCCAACCTCCGAATGCGGATCACGGACACGATTCTGTGTCTGCCAGCCAATCAGAAACCCCCGGTCGTCCACCAAAATCCCCGCAGAGTCTTGGCATCTTGGCACGCGGTACGAATACGGTAACATGGCTGCCGCAACGCGTGCGAGGCCGCGAAATTCCAGTACGAACTTTTTCCCACCACCACCACCACAACGACGACGGCAGGACAGGGAATAACACTCTTCCTCCCACTAAGGAGGGGGGAGGGAGGAGGAGAAGAAGAAGAAGTGAAGGAGCTGAGATGGATCTGGCTGGCTCTCTCCTCCGTCGAGGCTCACTTCAAACTGTTTGCTAGTTATTTCTCCCCCCGGTTCCTCCCCCCGCTACCTATCCCCTTCCTTCCGGGCTGTGCCCATTCCCTCAGGCTGTTCAGCTGAGGGCAGCGCAATCCTTCTTCCGCTCCCCTACTCTCATTCCCCCTTCCCCCCAAGGGGCACCTCATTTCCCTCTCCCACAGTCCCAACCCTCGCACGCCATGGTGTTGGACGTGACAGTCTCTTGACGTTGCCCATGCCAAGGGCTCGGCAGCTGGGCGTCTTGGCGGCGAAAAAGTAGTAGCCAAACCAGACCTGCCCTTTTTCCGCTGCAGTTCTGCCCTGGGACAGGACCAGGGCTCGTTTTCTTGGTCGTCGCGCCTGTTCTTGGACGTTCCGCTCGTTGTCGTCTTGTCTTGGGAGTAAAAAGTCATTCATGGCATTCTTATAAGTCGACTGCTGCCCTCCCTTTCCGCTCCTGGCCTCCCATTCCTCTCCTCCCTCTCCTCCCCCCCCCCTCTCTACTTGCCTCCTTCTCCGCCTGGCTCTTGCCGTCCGATAAGCATCCCCTCCCTCCC